GAAGGAGAAATGGAAGAGTACATTCCTTCCCTTCCTCCACTGGGACTTCTTAAAAGTTGCACAGACCACTTTGCTTATGTCCTGTAGGCCAGCACTTAGTTAACACAGCCATCAAAAATACAAGGGAGGCCTGGAATACCTATCTGGTTAAAAACAGAAGCTCTTGAAGAAAAGGAGAAAGGATACTGGGGACACCTTTGATTTTAGACATAATCCTTTCTTTGTTATCGGAATACTTTCATGAGATGCTTAAGAAAAAAGCTTAGAGTAACATGAGCATACGTATAGCTTTTTAGTGGTGGAGATTGAACCTGTTAGGAAAAATGCCGCTCACAAAGAAAGCTCACAAGAAAATCTCATGTCCAAAGGCAGGGTTTAATGACAGTCACGAGCCACCTGGCTGACCTGGGAAATATGGCACAGGAAGAGCAGGAGTCTGGGCCAGGCATGGCTTTTTATAGAAGAGGAGGGTAAGAGGTTGGTGCATGCGCAGGGTCCCTGATGGGGATGGAGCTTGGGTAGAGCTTGTCTTGGAGTGCGGGAAACTTCACTAAAGGGCAGGGCTGTTATTGGGAATGGCTCCATTTTCCAAGAGGTGAGGCCTAAGGATAAAATGGCTGCTGATTTATAAAATGGCGTTATTGTTCTATCATTCCCCCGTTTTTTCTTTAATAATGATGAAGGTAGGGGCTGAGGATCAGGAATTGGGGCTAAGCATCGGTCTCTTTAGATGCTTCCTGCTGGCAGGGGGCTTGTATGGGGCAGGATCCTCAGGCTCCTGTGGTGTCTTGGATGCGGCCTTTACAGCAATTTTTCTGGGCAGTTTTGGAGAGATTGATATCCCTGGAGGTACAACTGGTTAAATTTTTTATTAGCAATGGCAGACATATGGTCTAAAAAAAAATCTTTGATACAAGGGAGGAAGCTAAGAATATGAGAGCAAGAAATATAGGCATCAGGATGGGCATTAGCCAAGAGAACCATTGTGAAATGTTCCCTAGAGGATTCCAAGAGTCCTCCAACTCCCTTCTCCATTTTTCTAATTGATTCTGGAGTTGCCTAATTTTATTTTTTACTACCCCTAACTGGTTAACATAGAAGCAGCACTCCTCTTGTAAAAATAGACAGAGACCACCCTTCTCTGCAGTGAGCAGGTCAAGGCCTCGTTGGTTTTGGAGTACAACTGAGTCTAGGGAGTCAAGTTGTTTCTGTAGGATTAGGATGGACTCAGTCACTGTTTGAAAATCACTTATTAATCGATCAGAGAGTTTTATGTAGTAGTGGACAGAGAGGTTCCTGTTCCCGGAACGGCTGCCTTGTTCCCATGGCAGCCGTTATGCCCAGGGTAGCTAAAAAGGGAATAGCCTGAATTGTCCTTTTAGATTGAAAGTGTGCGGTGAGGGGGATGAGGAGGTCCTGATCTTCTGTAATTGTATCCATGTCAGGAACCAAAAATACCAGAGTGCAGATGCCCTTCCAGGCTTGGGGTAAGCAGGGGTGTACACTCTGACCGCATAGAAAGAGAGTCCTGGGAAAGGGGGGGCAACAGATATTGTTTCCGGTTTTGTTGGCTGCCCTAGTGGTGTGACATTTTTTGGCCACCAGGGAGCCTACCTCAGCTATCCCTGAGGAACTCTGTAGGCAAAGAGGGACTGGCTGGGAGAGGGGAACTGGGGAAAGGATGGAGGTGGTGGGCCTTTTGGTGAAGGAACAGTTTAAGGTAAATGGTGTGAAAACGTTTATGGGGCTGGCAATGACCTGAGAAGGGCCATTCCACTGACACATCCAACAACCACGGCTAGAGTAGGATTGGTGTGGTTGAGTAGTTGATGAGTGGTATTTATGACCTGGAGGAGAAGGGTTTCAGAAAGGGACAGCATGTGTAAAGGAATTTTAAGAGGCTTTCTGGTGGGACAGAATAAGTCATTTAGTGCTCACTTCAGCAGCACATATACTAAAATTGGAATGATACAGAGAAGATTAGCATGGCCCCTGCACAAAGATGACATGCAAATTCATGAAACATTCCATTTAAAAAAAAAATAAATAAGTCAAATTAGTCTTTGAGGTACCTGGGTGTGGAAGACCTTCCAGAGGGCCTCATCCTGGACTCCATCTCCATCAGATATACCAAGCTGTGAGAGGTAAGTCCAGCATACCTGTTGCCCCTTCCTCCCATGGCAGCGGTAGCCAGCATGGTCACCTTTGCTGATCCCTGTCCAATATTTTTGATTAAGATGTTGGCATAAAGTGGCAGTGCTATAGCATGCCTTTTGCATGATGGTATATGCTGTAAATGGCGGCATGGGCGGGGTGGGGGGCAGCTTGCAAAGGTCCAAGTCTTAAGAAAGAGAGCACAAGGAGTAAGGTGCACAGGGCAAGGTATCCAAAAACAGAAAACTGTGCAATGGGGCCATTTCCAGTCAGGAGGAAAAGTTGCCCACAGGCCAATACTTAGGAGGGAAGGGACAAGGACAACATTAGCCACAGAAAGGGATGGAGTAGAAGCATAGGTGGAGTGGTTTACAATAAGGCAAAGAGAATGTTGGAAAATGAATAGATTTCTTCAGGAGTAAAATCTGAGAGAGTACCTTGGAGGTGAAGGTCAGCTATCCACTCTATGAACCAGGGGTGAAGAAGGTATGGGAAAGGAAGGAGGCTGATTGTGTTGGGAGGTGGGAAGAGTAAAATCTCAGAGTGGAGTGTATATAGGAAAGAGTAAAAGTGTGGGCAGGCACTAACAGGAAAGAATGGGAGGGGGAAGTATAAAGAGTGAGTAGGTGAGATGCCAGGTTCCCAGGCATAAGGCTCCTGCTTATGCCCCAGGAGTCTCCTTGAGTGTGTCTCTGTCTTCTGGGATCTTGGGAAGGCAGGAGATCTTTAGTTTTGTTGGTCCTGTAAGAAGAGATTGGTAGGTCTTTTGTGGGGCTGTGAGGATGGAGACAAGGGGTTAATGGGTCACAACTTAAGAGGGGGTGGGTGTAAGGTGAGAGTGGCCTGGAATTTTGACAAAATGTCCCTCCCCAAGAGTGGGGTGGGGCAATTAGTTAGGACTAGGAAGGAGTGAGTAAAAAGTGTATCTCCCAGTATGCAGGTTAGAGGAAAAGTCATTAAGGGCTGGGTAGGTGTTCCCTCCACCCTGACTATGGAGGTTAAAGAAGGCTTGGTAGGTCCCCAGAACTCCAGCAAGGCAGAAAAAGTGGCACCAGTGTCTAGGAGGAGAGAGATAGGCCTACCGTCAATGATGGCCTTTACCATGGCTCCCGTGAAGTTATGGGAGTCCTGGACTCCGTCAGTCATCAGCCGCAGTTGCCAGTCCTAAAAGATCAGTTAGGGAGGAGGGATGGTGAGGGGGCTTAGACCCTCCACCTTGAGGGGTGGAGGGGCAGTCCATTGCCCAGTGGCCCTTCTGTTTGCACTTAGGACATGGCCCCAGAGGGCGGTGTGGTTTAGGACATGCACGGGCCCAGTGTCCCTCAAGGCCACACTGAAAACATGGGCCGGGAGGTGTTTGGGATTTTCCCTGGCCTCGGGAGTTAGAGGTCAGAGGCCTTTGTTGGAGGGCTTGCACCAACATCTGGATTTCAGCTTTGTCTCTCCTCTCCTTGTCAGCCCTTTGTTGTTGTTCTCAGTAATTATAGACCTTGAAGGCCACGTTTAAGATTTCAGCCTGTGGAGTCTGAGGGCCATTTTCTGGCCTTTTAAGATTTTTTCTTATATCTGGGGCTGACTGGGAGATGAAGTGGGTCATGAGGATAATTGTCCCCTCCTTAGTTTCAGGGTCAACTTTTGTATGGCGTCGTAGCACCTCTGTGAGCCAGGACAAGAAACTAGCTGGATTTTCCTCTTTTTCTTGTTGAATTTCTCTGAGTTTATCAAAATTAACAACCTTTTGGGATGACTTTTTTAGTCCTACCACTAAACAAGTAAGCCTCTGATCCTTAAGCATTCTGTCACCGGTTTGGTAATTCCAATTAGGCTCCTCAGTAGGGGTCGCTGTGTCCCCTACAGGATGGGCGGGGATGGTGCAATGGATCTCATCTGCATGTGCCCTAGCTGTGTCCCAGACCCTGCATCTCTCCTCTGGAAGGAGGGTGGAGGAAGGAATGAGATAGATGTCATGCCAAGTAAGGTCACAGGATTGAGCCAAGTATTGGAACTCTAACATAAGAATCTGGGTTAGTGGTGAAAGAGCCAAGGGGCTTTTCTATCCGAGAGAGGTCAGCGAGAGAAAAGGGGACATGGACCCTCACAATGCCTTCCGCTCCAGCCACTTCCTGGAAAGGGTAGATGGAAACTGGCTGACTGGGGGGGTCTGTGAGAGCGAGTGTCTGGGGGGCTCATGGGATCCTGTGGTTCTGGGTGGGTGGAAGTAGGGGCAGAAGGAGGGGTGGGGGCAGGGCAGAAGGAGGGGCGGAAGGAGGAGCAGGGGCCAATGGTTGAACAATGGAAGCCCGTCTCTGATAAGGTGGAGGCTCATTAGCAGGGTCGAAAGAAGGCAAAGTTTCAGAGTCAGGAGGAGGTTCAGAAGAGGATTTAGCTGGGTTTGAAACTGGTTTAGAGGCTAATAGAACCTGCACAGGGGAACAGGAAGTATAGAGGGAGGGTTTGGTGCGGAGATAAGAAGGATTGGATGTAGGGAAGTTCCTTCCATTTACCAGCACACTCACAGAAATTGTATAAATCCCTTAAGATATTGGGATCAAAAGTGGGGAACCCAGTTCCAGGGATGGGAGCAAGCCAAGACCTAGCGTTAGGATTTCAAGGAAATGACAGAGATCATGGCTCTGTGTGCAAGGACTCACTGAGAGAGGACCTTGAGGGAAGATTGGCCAGTGGTGGATGGCAATTGGAGGCACACTGGGGCAGAGGAACTTCCCTGTGAGCTAGTGAGGGAGCGGTGCTTTCTAGAATGGGGGGTTCCAGCAAAGCAGCTCAGATCCCAGAGGAAGGGAATAGGAGTAGAGAGAGAGAGCAGGGTGGGGTTGGGGAGGCTGGGAGAGCAAGGTCAGTCCCGGAGTGCACCCTGATCTGAGTCACGGCACCAAATATTAGGAAAATACCACTCACAAAGAAAGCTCACAAGAAAATCTCACATCCATGGGCAGGGTTTAATGACAGGCACGAGCCACCTGGCTGACCTGGGAAAGATGGCGCAGGAAGACAGCAAGTCTGGACCAGGCATGGCTTTTTACAGAAGAGGGAGGGTAAGAGGTTGGCGCATGCACAGGGATCCCTGATGGGGGTGGAGCTTGGGTGGAGCTTGTCTTGGAGCTCGGGAAGTTTTGCTAAAGGGCAGGGCTGTTATTGGGAATGGCTCCATTTTCCAAGAGGTGAGGCCTGAGGATAAAATGGCCGCTGATTTATAAAATGGCGGTGTTACTGTTCTATCATTGAACCCAGCGCCTTATGCATGCTAGGTAAGCAGTTGACCACTGAGTTACAATGTTGGCCCAGATTTTATATAGATGTTTATTAGAATGAACAGATAGTTTTACATTGTAACATTCTGCATTCTTGGCTCCTAAATATTTTTACGTGATCTAGAAGAGTAGAAAATTAATTTTTAAATTATCATTTTTCTTAATTTTCCAAGTTCAACTTCTTTCCTAAAGATGTATCTGAGGTTTTATTTAAATTCTAAATACAGCAAATGTTCAATTATGGCAATAGCTCAAGTAGTAGAACACTTTCTCCGATAAGCACAAGGAGAAGTGCAATCCCCAGTACTCAAAAAAAAAATTTAAAAATTTTAAAAATACAGCAAATGTGCCTTTTATCTTTATAGAAGATAAATATATTAAACCCATTACTGAGAATAGTCATAGGTAATGTAAAAGCTTTGGTTAGGATGAATTCAAACATACGGAGATTAAATGAAAATTCAGGATTATTTTAGTTCACTGAAAACGAGCTGATAAAGTGAGCAGCAGATATAATCCTATTGATACTGCAGATTTTAAGTTCTTTTCTTCACCGTAGAAGAAAATACATTTAAAAGAATTATCCTTATGAAAAATGATTTACTTTCACGGGCTGGGCATGATAGTGCACTGCTGTGGTCCCAGCTACTTGGAAGGCAGAGGCAGGAGCACCATGGTTTGAGGCCGGCCCCTGAAAACAAATTAAAAGAAAAAAGGACTGGGGACATGGCTCAATTGGTAGAGCACTTGCTTAGCAAGACCTGAGTTTAATCCCTAGTACTGAAAAAAAAAAAAGATTTACTTTCAAAGCCTAGTGTCTAACACTATAAGTAATAATATGTTTTCCTCCCTAGGCAAGAAGTTTGGTAGCTGTAGGACTCGGTGTTGCAGCTTTTGCATTTGCAGGTAAGATAAATAAAGAATACATGTCAATACGTGTTGTAGGAGAAATATTTCCAAATAGCTGCTGTAGTGATTCATGAGTGGGCCGTTGTATTCTGAGGCTTTTCAATTTTAGGCATTATACAGTCTCTTTCTTTCCATCTAATATGGTTATTGAATAATAGTCAGTGGAACAAAACCTAGACAAACTTTATAGTAAAGAAAATTAATGACCAGTGAGCTAAGAAAACCAGCTGTAATAGTAGTTGATATTCCTGTCTTTATTTTTTTTTTTTACAAGTTTGGGTTATAGTGGCATACAATAATAAAAAAGAAGCAGCCTTAACATGACCCAGTCCCAGTGGTGGGGTTCCTTTATGCTGATGTATTTACGTTTTCTTGCAGATGGGTTTACGCATTTCAAGTTCTTTATGATGAACACAGTTGATCCCTGATTTGTTACTTAATCTTTTAATGTATTAGCATGATTTCTTTCATAAACCCAGGAGAATTTTGTTCACTGCTAAAGTTACCTTCTTATAGAAAAATAATTATAAAAATAAAAGTAAAATCAGTAATTCATCATTAACTTATAGCTTTAAACTGCGTCACTATTCCCTGATTGAATGTTAATCTGAGTGTCAATATTTTGTTCCTAAATTCTCTGGATTTGGTCCTGTTAATTGGATCTTTTTTAGGTGGTTATATGGAATTAAGTTCTAACAGAGTCAGATGCTGTAATCCTAGCTACTTAAGAGGCTGACATCAGGAGGACAGCAGTTTGAGGTCATTCTATACAAATAGTTCTTGAGACCCCCATCTCCAAAATAACCATAGCAAAATGAACTGGAGATGTGGCTCAAGCAGTAGAGCACCTGCTTTGCAAATGTGAAGCCCTAAGTTCAGACCCCAGTTTCACACAAAAAAGAAAAAGTTCTAATAGAAAAGTGACAAAGGTTTTATTTTGTTTTATATGGTACTAAGTTCATACAGTTCTCATTTACAAAACTTCAACATTAGAATTTTAAAATCAAAAGACAAGTGGTTCATATCTTCTTGATCTTTTTGCCAGCAGGACCTTGTGTAAATTATATAACTATAGTTAACCAGTTCTGAAGTTTCATGAGAAGAATATGCTGTCTCAAAAGGAATTCTGACAAACTTGCTCATAAACACAAAACAATTTTAGTATTAATTATTAAAATAATAGAATTGGCATAGTTATTACAAATTCACATGTAACATTTTCATTTTAAATTAGAGAAAGATGTACTTTTTCTAGGTCTTCTTTCAAAAATGACAGGTCTACTCTATACAGACTGTACTTCTGCCAGATTCCTGTTACTAATTCAAATTGCAAATCTGTTCCAGAGCCAAATGAAACTGAATAATAGAATTTAGGAGAAAGTACACTGTAATTTGTTGGAACGACATCTTATAGTGTATGGTTAAAATAAACTTTCAAATACCTCTTCTTGAAGCCTTTATTTGGTTTTTCAGTGAGATTCAGTCACTGTGCCTGATTGTGGGTTTGAAGAATTTTGAGGTAATTTAAAAGCTACATTTTATACCATTATGGAATCAAATGATAAGCTCTTCTGAAAGATCTAGGTAGTTGAGCTTTCCCAGTGGAACCCTTGATTTACAAATAAACTTATGGTTAGAACTGAATTTAAATCCATATTGGGGGGAGTGATAAAGGAGAGTGGTGGAGGGGATGAATTCAAATATGATATATTTGATACATTGTAAGAGCTTTGTAAATGCCACAATGTAACCCCACCTAGCACAACAATAGAAAATAAATAAAGTAAAAAAATAAAGTAGGAGGTGAAAGTCTTCCTCTGTGATAAGATTTCAAGTATCACTGTCATGTCCTGTTCCTGGTGCTCTGTGGACATATCTCACCTAGTGTCCTAGGAGGGGGACTGTCCCAGGCAGGTCTCAACATGGCAGCGATGGCCTGGCAGAGCCATTAAATCGCAAGTATGCTGTTTCACTGGTTTTAGACCCTAGTTGTGCTGAAATAATTAGAAATGACTTCCCGTATTAATGATTCAATTTCCTTATCTGTATATTGGGTGTGATTTTTCCTGTCTTAAAGAATAATTTTTGAAACTTACATAAATTAATTCAGGAGTGTTTCTAGAATTCAGTACTCAGTAAGCATTATGTATTATAGGAAGATGATTCTCAGTAGATTAAAGGTAACAAATTGGTTACTAAATACAAGAAAAATCCATGTGCAGTTTTCTGGGAAGAGTTGGTACACTTAGAAGACACATATTTTGATCAGGGTGGAAAGGATGAATTAGGTAATATTTTATACTTACCTCATGCCCTCAAAACAATTTAGGACCAGTTTTGCTATAAATTTTTAGTTGTCAAGATTCAAGGGGAGTTTTAATGTTAGGGTGCTTAAGAAAGAGAAAACTATAATAAGTTTTTAGAGAGTAGCCATTCTTAGGAAAAAATTGGTAATTAACATCATTGGCAAATATTTTATACATAATTGGTTTTCTTTTTTAGAGGTAGCTCCCTTAAAAGCACACCTACGTCAGATATCGTAAACAGTATTTGTTTTCCATATATTTCAAAGTGATTATCATTGCAAAAGCAATATAATTAATCATTCTGTATCATAAGTATCTTTTATACATAAAGGGACTTTTTCTATACAACTTATTATAGGAAGAATATTAGGGTATTATTTTTGTAACCTGTAACATTCTATAAGGCGTTATAGATGAAAACTTCTAATTTTATGATCATGAACTAGAATTTGATGCATTTATTGGCTGTGCTAATATTAAAATGAAATTCTGTCCATTCAATAAATTTAAAATTTGAAAATTATGACTTATCTTCTTGGTAAATTTTGAAATATTTATTTTAGACAGCATGTATGAGTAAAGTATCAATAAACGATATGGTATATACCTTGAAAGTATTGATTGACGTTGATTGTAGGAAATATATATCTCCTTTGCTATTTAGGTCGCTATGCATTTCAGATTTGGAAACCTCTAGAACAAATAATCACAGAAACTGCAAGGAAGATTTCATCTCCTGTAAGTTAAATGTGGCTGTAGTTAGACAACTCATTTTGATTTTTGTTTGTCATATTTGATTTTGGTTTTTTGTTTGTTTGTTTGTTTGTTTGCAGTACTGGGGTTTTTAATTCAGGCCCTTGGGCTTGCTTGGCAAGTGCTGTACTACTTCAGCCTTGTCTCCAGCCCCTTTTGATCTTGTTAGATTTGGAATAGGGTCTCACATTTTTGCCTGGCCAGCCTCAACTGCCATCCTCTGATATATACCTCCCATGTAGCCAGAATGACTGGCGTGTACCACCATGCCCAGCTTTTTTTATTGGTTGAGATAGGGTCTTGCAGACTTTTTCCCTGGGCTGATACACAGATGATATGCAGGAAGTTTCAACTGCTGAGGGTTCTTGGGTCCACTCTGAAATTGAAAGTAGAGGCGGACTCCCAGAGATCAGAAAGATTTTATTTGCAGAGAAGAGAAGAGAAAGGCTGCTTGGGGGCATGCAGTGAGACTAAAACTCTTGGGCCATGAGTCAGGTTGGAGATTGGGGTTTATAGCCTTTTTCATGTATTGCCCAAGGGCAGAGATGTCTCTCAGGTGCAGACAGGTTTCCTGAGGAGGAGGAGTGTCTACTTGGCCAGGTATCACCTTTTGGGACTACTCCTCCTCCTCCTCTGCTCCTCCTCCTCCTCCTCCTCCTCCTCCTGCCCGCCCCTCCCACTCCCCATCATCTCTTCCCCCTCCTGCCCCATGGTCCTGCCCTGAGAGAGCTTACCCAAGAGTTTACTTTATCTTGGATTTGAATCTAATCCCCTTATACCACCACACCTGACCATCTTGAACACAGAATCACAAGACTAACCATGACATCACCTAGGGTTTATACACTCATCTGCCTGCCAGCATTGTAGACACTCCGATGAGTTGAATGTAACTGACAAAGGAATGAATGTGATCACTGAAGATAATACAAGTTGACTTTTGGGAAATCAGCTTGGCTTTCACCTATTTGAGAGTGAATGGCTTGTTTTACCAAAAGCACTACAGGCTTTCGGAGCTTAGTTAGCCAAGAACAATGACAGCCCTGTCAAACAATGACGTATTGACAAATAGCAAAAGAGTTTACAAACCTGCAAATACATGTTTGTGACAGAGGGAAGTACAGGTTTATTTTCTGCTTTCCTGTTTATATTTTATTTGGCTGATGATATTCAATGTTCACTTGGTAAATATTCCTTGAGCACCTATTGCATGCCAGACATTGTTGGGAGTGGGATATACTCATGTACCAAACAACAACATTTTCCTCTAGGAGCTTGTATTTTATGTTTTAGTAGAAATTTTTAAAAAGGTGAAGTAGGATAGATATATATCTAGAATTGTTGAGTGCTTTTAAGAAAACCAAATCAGGGCAAAGGATTAATAACAGCAGAGAAGAATCTTTGTATTAGCTAGGTCAGGCAAGGCCTCTCTGAGAAGATGAAGAACTGGCCATGTGAGCATCTGAAGAAAGAGCTTTCCAGGTGCTGGGAACACTGCAGAGGTCCTGAGAAGGGAATGAGCTCAGCAGCAGGGTAAGCAGTGGAGTCTGTGGAGAGAATAGTACAAGCTCAGACTGATAGCCTGTTAACAGCCCAACAGACTATGGAAAAAACTTGCAGATTTTAAGGATGATGGAAAGCCTTTAGAATAATTTGAGTTGTGGGGAGTAACTTGCATTTTAGGTTATCATTCTGATGGCTACTTGGAGCATAGACTAGACTGAGCCAGAGTAGGAGTTGAGACACCAGGTAAGAGAATAGTGAAAGGTGATAGTGCCGTGAAATACAGTAATAGAAATGGAAGTGGTGACATGGATCTTTAAATGAATGTTAATCTGTTTTTCCATGCTGATCAATAATAAATGGAGAGAGTTTGGAAGTTATTTCTATTATGGTGGTTCTCAGTAGACTTATATACACCATAAGTACAAAACTCCCAAGTTTTGTAGACCTGAGGTCAGATTAGGGATAGTCAGAGACTGTTCTTGACTCAAGAGCTCCTTCCCCTAGCCCACAGGTCAGAGGACCCAGGTGAAAACGTATTCTCTTCCCCCCTCCAAGTTCAAGGTGATATAAAAATGACCTACCAAGAGACCCTGTCCCCTTTTTTTCTTTTCTTCCCTTACCTGGAAGAACATATGACTCCCCTTCCCTTAATAAAGCTTTTCTATCTCACCCCATCTGTGTGTTCTGCTTGGATTCTTCCACACCAGAACACAAAGGCCAAGGTCTTCTGGAACACCATTTGCTGATCACAGAACAACTATATTTAGCATTGTAAAGGAAGAAGGGGCAAGAAAATGAGAACCTTTTCACTGTGCAGCAGAGGTGTACATATAAAGCAAGGTAGATTGCAATAAGCACACAGCCAGGAACTGCATTACTTAAGGAGAGGGAAATAATGTTCCACCACCTTTCCTTCCCCTTTTTGACAAGTCTGACTCCTCTTTTTTTTTCTTTCCCACAAAGTACTACTCTTATAGTTTACAATGAAATATCTTAGAATATCTTAATCATCATCATCATTATAATTATACCTCAGTGAAGACAGAAGTATTTAAAAACAATTCTTTAAATATTAATCACTCCAGGGAAACTGAGAAATGAAATATGGACATACTTTTCTTCACACTAATGAATCCCAAATGTCAGACTTCATAAACACAGCATTTACAGTGATTTGATTTTACAAATACTAATTTTTAAGCCAAATAGGGTTGCTAAAAAACAGGAACTGTAGTTGTATATTCCCAAGTCTGTCATTGACAGGAGAATGTACAAGGTTCAAGTTCCCATGGGTGAGCTCTGACATCTCGTTCTTAAATCTTATCTTTCTCCTTTGCATGCTTTTTTTTTGCTGGAATATTTCCTAGAGTAGCTTGTTCATTGCTATGCATGAATGGTCTGTTCTCTGTTAAATGGGATTTTTGTTGTTGTTTTTCTTGTTAATTATCACTACTAGCTCCTTGAAATTGAGTGGAGTCAGCATATGAGAAGTACAGAAATCCGTGCTGAGACCAAACCTCAGTGCCTACCCTCCCACATACCTGCCTACTCACTGTCACGTTTTTTGCTTTTCTTGTTATTCCATTATAGACAACCTGTTGTTTTGGTTTTCTTTTGTTGTTTCTTTTACGGTTTTACTTTTTTGGTGACACTTGTTTTTTAGCACTGAAAGTTTTTAGGCTTTTCTCTTTTTTATTAATATTCTGCAATTTCACAAGAACGTTTAGTGAGTTGTAACTTATTTGAAAATTAACTCTTTTATTCTATACTTTAGTATTCTTTAATTATTGTTTACTCTCCACTCTTATCTGCTTGTACCAGCATCTATTAGAAGGATGTACAACTGAGTCTATCCTCTGTCTTTGAAAATTTTATCTCATACTTTCTATTCTCTCATCTTTTTTGCTTTGTATTCTTCAATTATTTCTAGTTTTTTTCTAAATCATAAGGTCATGTTTTAAATTTCTAAGAATTCTTTCTGCTTCTTTCTTATAGCAATCCATTTTTTTCAAGAATTTTTTTTTTAGCAGTCCTAAGGTTTGAACTCAGGGCCTCATGCTTGCTAGACAGGTGCACTACCACTTGAGCCATTCTGACAGCCCTAGCAACCCATTTTTAATGGATGTGATTCTTTTTTAATATTTCTAAAGATACTAATTAGAGTTTTGCAAAATTCTCTTCTGCTTTCTAATTTATCACCTTCTAAAGTTAAATGTTATTTGTTCATCTTGGTTCTCTTATTTTCATTCAATGATACTGGGTTTGTGCAAAATTTTCAGTGATGTTGGTTGCTGGCTTAAGCACTATATGCACTAAATTTATTAATATAAGTAATGCCCCTGTCTTTCTTCAGCAATTTGACAGGCAGACTTCAACACTTTAATTGAGAGAGGGTTGACAGTTGGCATTGAATACACAAGTGGGCTTGTCACTGATATATGTACACATAAATACAAAGCTCCCAAGCTTTGTGGAAACTGTTTATCTAGCATTGTAGTAATGTCATTTATCTAGATCTAAATAGTGTCTTGTATCATTGTAAAACAAGCAGAGCAGAGACTGGCTTGGGAGCTCTGAGTCCAGCAGAGGTTGAGCGCCATATCCATTTTTCTCCTTGGCATAGATGGTCCCCTGCTAGGATATTTGGGCTCTGAAATGGGGTCTGCCGATATCTCACCTTTGAATTTACCTCCCCTGTGCTTCTCTTTTTGAGCCTAAGGGGAAAAGTGACAGATACCAGAGTAGGGATGATCATTTTCTGCTGTTCTGGCTTAATAAGTTACCCTGGTACCATTTTTCACAGTTTTGACCCTGATTTAGTGTTTTCTTCTTCTTTTCTGGTGGCTGGGGTCACTGATTTTTCTGTATGTTCAGACTTACTTGTTTTTTCAGTCTTCCAGGATTTGTTTAAATTTTCGGGTTTGCTACTTGTCCCATTTCTTTTATTGAGAGAGGATTGTACTATATATCCGGGCTGGCCTCAGACTTGCAGTCTGTCTGCTTCAGCCTCCTTCATGCTGGGATTACAAGTGTGTACCTGTACCTAAACCCATTTCTTGTTTTTTAGGTCTAGTACTTCCTTTAAAAAAAAAAATTGGTGGTAGTGGAGTTTGAATTGAGAGCTTACACTTGCAAAGATAGCACTCTACCATTTGAGCCTTACCTTCAGTCCATTTTGTTTGCTTGTTTGGTGATGGGGTTTTGTGAACCATTTGCCCAGGCTGGCCTTGAATAGAGATCCTCCCAATCTCAGCCTCCCATATAGCTAGGATTACAGGAGTGAGCCACCAGTGCCTGGCTTATTATGATCTTTTCTTCTTGAAAATATTTCTTTTTCATTTCAAAAGCTCTTTGGAAAGCAAAAAACCTTTCTGATTCAGTCTGGTGTTTTGAGCTAGTGCCCTTTGTTTGCTTTTTAATGTACTAATGTGTATCACTGACTTAGCTAATTTCTAATTACCTCTAAATTTTTGGGGAGC